GCTTGGTCTGTTCGAATAAGCGGTTGAGTAAGAAATCGATGGTTTCTGGTCGCTTCTGAATCATAGCATCGGCGTGGAGTAATTAGCGGTGTAATAATCGAGCAATCCACGCTTTCCAATCTCTAGCAGACTCAAATAAATAATAAAATCAATTATGTTAATTCAGCAATTAATGGACCTCCAATAATTAATTAACTACCTAACTAATTAATTAAACTCTGCCACCTAATTAATTAATTAATTGATTATCACTTTTCCAATTTATCAAACATGGTGTAGAAGAGCAACCTACTCTTTTCTTGTCGTCTTGAAGCTCGGAGGACTCTCGAAAGCGGAAAGCCGCAGAAGTCCTGCAACGAGCAAAAGAAGAAGCAGCAGCTCTTGTGGCGAGAGCGGAGGCGGAGGCCAAGACTCTACTGGAGGGAAAGACCGACTCTGCTGAGCAGCAAGTGGTTGCTTGCGCCTCTGAAGAGGAGCAAGAAGTAGTGGCTACACCGCCGCCCAAGCAGCCGAGGCGCTCCCTCTCTTGGAGCTCTGGTCAGAGCAGTCTGAAAAAGTTCTTCGGCACCCCCGAAGAGCGCGAGAATGCTCTGCCGGTTCCTCTGCCTCTAGTGGCCCTGGGCCGCGTGCGAGACACTGAAGCCATGAACAACCTGAGAACTCTTCAAGAGCAGTTTGAAAGCACTCTGGTTGCTGCAGCGCCGACTCGCAAGCGACTCTGCAAAGGTGGCCGACCTGCAAGTGGTCAAGTTGTCAGAGGCTCTAGCAACAGGAAAAAGGCAGGAACTGCCTTTAAGAGGCGGGAGTTCTCTGCCTTCGAGAAGGCTGCCATGTGCTCTGACATGGAGAACATGCGCGCGACGCATGCCGAGAAAGACCTCTGGCGAGCGGCTGCTGGTAAGTATGGTGTCTCTGTGGAAACTCTGAAAACCATCAAGAGCAAGGAGGCCGAGTGGAAGACTCTGGTCGCGAAGCACAAGCTCGCCGCCCTGCGGCTCGGGGGAAGAAAAAGGTCTCTAGGGCCTGCCGCTTCGTGAGACAGCCCGGTGGCGGCCGAAAGCGAGCTCTAGACTGGGCGGTGACTGCTCTGAAGGAATGGCACTGCAGAGAAAGACAGCATGGGCACTCCATCTCTCGCAAGGACATGGTGGACGAGTATGTGACTCTGCTGCACGAGAGGGCGAGCCAGCTCAGCGGCAAGGTGGCGACTCTTGACGACTCTGACCCGCAGCGGGAAGGTCTGGAGAAGGAGGCGCGAGCTTGCTTGGAAAGGAGAGACAAGCTGGCTGTCTCTAAAGCATACCGGAAAACCATGACGACTCGCCTCTTGCAATGGACCGGAGCGCGGCTCTTCACTGTGGAGCAGACGACTCATCTCTCCGCTCTGGAAGAGAAAGTGCGAGCTCAACTCACCTGGCAGGATGTGGACAGGAAGCTCTGGGCCACGCGCGTGGCCTCGAAGGAGCAGCTGGAGAAAGAGGACCTGGTGGCAGACGCGGCCTCTGTCATTGCGCACCGCTCTGACTTCGTGGTGGGCATGTCTGACCAGCTCCCTCTCTGGGCGAAGGTGGACTGCAAGCGGCTGGTGTTCCATGACTCTGAGATCAGGAACCTCCTTGGCGACTCTCGCAAGAACTTCCACAGTTTGAGAGAGGAGCTGGCAGCCTGCCAGGCGGAGGTGTCTGCTCTTCAGGAGGTCTCTGTGGCCCAGGAAGAGAGCTCTGCGCTGCGTCCTGGCTCTCTGACGAAGCGAGCGCACTCTGAGGATGCCAAGTTTCGCATCACCTACGAGGCCAGGCAAAAGATCCGCAACCTCTGCGGAGAAGGGCCTCTGGTCGGCGAGGTGAGCCGCGGAATCCTGGTGTTCCCCGGCAAGCACTGCCGACTCTCCAACGTGGACTCTAAGGGCTGCTACATCTCGAGCGAGCGGTTACTCTGGGGGACACCGTGGTGGAGCACGTGAAGGGACAGCGGTGCCGAGCTCTAGACTGGGCGGTTGCTCTGCGCGAACAGCATCCCTCTGAGGTCTCTGAAGTGGACATCATGCTGCAGCCGGCCTCTAACATGGACGGCGTGCTCTTGGGATGGACAGTGGCGCAGCAAGGCTCTGAGGAGCCGGCGTCTCTCCACATCAGGGACAGCTTCGCGGCTCTCTTCCACGACTCTGTGGCTGCCACTCAGAAGGTCGTGAGGCCAGCTCTGGGGCAAGATGACCCAAGCTCTTCAGGTGACCGACACGGACTATGCTCAGTCCTCTTTTCGGAGGGCTCTGTGGAGGGTGTCTGGAGCAACAGGACTCTTCAAGGCCAGGTTCGAACCGCAACCCACTCTCCCGCTAACCTGCGCCCTGTCAGGTGACCTTTAAGGACATCGTCCTGGCCACGGTCTCTGCCCAGCGGTTCAAGCAGCAGCGCAACCTCTCAACCAACTTCGTGGTTGGCGGAGCCATCCGCAACGGTCTCTTGGTGTACCGTCCCTGAGATGAGAAGCTGACGAAGCTCTGCGAGCGCAAGCATGTCACTACTAGCTATCTATAAGTAAGCCTCCGAACCCGAAACCTCAAGCACCCGTAAGTAATTAAGACACCTGCTGCGCAGGACTGGGCGGTGGAGCAGCAGCTGCTGCCTGGCAGCAAGCGCATACCCTCGGAGTGGCTCTTGCGGAGGTATGAGTGGCTGGGCCTAGATGGCGTCCCTCTTGCGCCGGACTTCGCTCTGTCTAACTCTGCAACTCAAGTGGCTGACCTCGCGGAGTGGGCCTACAAGAACCCGGCCTCTGACGGGGGACACTCTGGACCTGGAGGAGCCTGTGGAAGACGAGCTTCGTGTGCCCCTGAAAAACTCGCTGTTCCTGCGGCTCAGCCCCGCTCTTCGGAGGGCGAGGCGGAAAGCCAAGGAGAGCTCTTGGGCGGAGCTCCTGGCTGTGGCGACGGCCAAAGCCCAGAACCGCCGCAAGCGCGCTCTCCTGCGCTCTGGTCTCAGGAACAAGTACGTTGCGTCTCTCAAGAGCAAGCTGCAGGTGATATCAAAACAGGAAACTCTCCGGGGCATCGTCCCGGGAGCAGGGCTCTCCAAGCTCAAGAAGCTGTCGGCCTAAACGAAGCCGAGCGCCTCCAAGAAGCCCTCTACGACCTCGAAGCCCTCTCTGACCGACAAGCCTGCAGCAAAGAAGAAGCTCTCGAAGAAGCACGAGCTCAAAAGCGCCGCAGACAAGAAGCTCGCCAAGGCCTCCAAGCACGCCAAGGCCAAGAGCTCTGAGACGGAGCCGGCACCGGCAGTGGAGGACTCTCCTGTGCCTCTGAACACGGAGGCTGGCCGGGGCTTAATTACTAGCTTGAGCCCAAAGCCCCTACAGCCATTGCTTGGCTGTTTTCCTTGCCTTGCCTCAGGTTCGGGTGGTCTTGGAGGAAGCTGGCCCTCGTCAGTACGGACGCCAGGGACTCGCCAAGGCCTACAAAGCTGGGAACCTGAACCTCTTCACTTTCCACGGTACACTCTCAGTGCCGGTGACGGCCGTGGACTCTTCTTGGGAGAAGGCCAAAACCTGGAAAGGCCTGAACAGCATGAGTCGGGTGACCATGCAGGAGATTCTCTCTCGATCGGGCTTGCAGCCTGTGCCTTTCGAAGAGACCTGTGATGCTCTGGAGCCTGTGCCCGAAGACTTCAAGACTCTGCTTCAGGATCTGCACCCTAAACCTTGATTAACGTAGTGAATGCCCCTTAATTGATTAGGTTTAGGGTTTATGGTTTAGGGTTTAGGGTCTAGGGTTTAGTGTGCCAGGAGATGCACATCCTCTGGGGCTGGGAGATGATTCTTTGGCAGTGGCCTGCCGAGGTTCCGTGCTAATTAGTGGTTTCGCTTGGGGCTCGGACAAAGGGTTTAGGTTGCGGGGTAGGTATTTCCTCAATTAATTAATTGATTACTTGCTATATTGGTTATCTAGGATTTGTTTTGGACATGCTATTTTTCAAGCCCTGGCAGGCGGCCTCTTTCGCCTTCTTGGAGCCGGCTCTGCTCTACCAGCTGCAGATCAGCGACGCCTCTGCGCAATGGCCGGTCCAGGCTCTGGAGAGGCTCCTGAAAGGCAAGGTGAAGCTCCTCTGCCCCATCTGGAGCAGTATGCCCAACCACTGGACTCTGCTCGAAGGCAGGCGAGCCTCTGCCGATGCAGCATGGTCTTTCACGTACCGAGATTCTCTGCCAGTGCCCTCTGAGAATGCTCTGAAAAAGGCCCAAGACGTTGCGGCTCTTCTGGGCGTCCTGGACCCTCTGCCGCAGCCTGCGAACCATGCCTCTCAGCAGGAGCTGGAGTGCGGCTGGTTCGTCCTCTCGTGGATGGAGCAGATCGCCATCTCTGAGGGCCCTGCCAGTCGTCCCTACGCGGCAGAGCTGGCTGTCTCTTGGCAGCAGCAGCGGTTGCTGCCTTTGCAGAAGTCTCTCTTGCTCGAGATTGAGAAGCTCTCCAAAGACAAGGCAGCTGCTGAGGCGAAGGCTCTGAAGCTGCAGGCACAGCTGAAGGCCTCTCAGGACAAGGCTGCTAAAGCTCTGGAGAACTCTGCCAAGCTCTCGAAAAGGGCCAAGCAAGCTGCAGAGAAAGCTCTGCACGAGAACTCTATGTACTTTCACTGGAAGGACTTGGGCTTAGTTAGGGGTTCAATTAGGGTTTAGGGTTTAAAAGGATGGTGATTAGGGTCTTGGGCTTAATCAAAATAGGGCTTCCAAGTAATTAATTGATTTTTTGGCCTACGTACTTAAATCCTGGTTTTAGGGCGTAATTAATTAGGGCTAGTTAAGGGCTCCCCCAGCAGGATCTCTCCAAGGGCTCTAAAGACAGCGTGGCGCTTCTCGCGAAGACGGGCCTGGGACGGTGCTCTCGGTGCCGCTGGGTCACCAAATGCCTCTCTTGCGACGCTGAGCATCTTTTCAACAATCTCTACAAGAAAGAGGCGTCTAAGAAGGGCAAAGTGCCCTCTCTCTCAGGAGCTTCGGGAAATTAGGCTCTAAGCATACTTCTTCTACCAGCTTACTACTATCTATTTAGGGGTTGGGTTGCTTAGAGTGGCTGGCTCCCTCTCTCTTCTCTGGCTCTCTTCTTTTTGTCTTTTGTTTGTTTTTCTCTGCCTGGGCGTTTCCAGAAGCCAGCACGCATTATTCCGTTCCTGGGTTGTTATTAATCCGTTCAGCTCGGATTTCGCTCTAATACGAACCACTTTTTATTATTCCGTTCGGGCTGATTTTCGCTCTAATACGACCCCCTTTTGTAATCCGAATCCCCCATTATCCCTATAGAAGCCCTATGTTATCCCTATAATATAGTAACTTCAGGTTCTTTTCCTACGTCATCCCTATAGTATAGTAGCTTCCAGTTTCTTTTCCAGTATCCCAATAGAACCCCTATGTTATGCCTATAATATAGTAGCTTCCAGTTTTTCCATTGTCCCAATAGAACCTCATTGATGTAGCACGGGAGATGCTGGAGGTCAGCTGCTTGGGATTTAGCGAATCCCAAGCACATCCTCGCGCCGCATGGTGCCGGATGCACATGTCGTTGTGGCTGAAGCAAAGAAGCAGTGTGGACTTCATAGCCGAGGCCATAGTAGGGGTAGCAGGTGCCGTAGCGCGTCTCGTGGCAGTCTGCAAGGTCCAAAGGCTGCAATGGATTGACGCAAGCACAGCTGCGCTTACAAGTCGGACGTGCCTGGACTGCAACGCACAGCATCGCATGGAAACCTACATTGGCGGCAATAACACACCTCTGCAATGATGGAACCCCATCTCTTCAACACAGCCCCGGCCATCTGACAATCATAGGATTCCGGCCGAGACCTTTAGGGAATGAAATATCTACAGCTGTAAAAGCTGTATAGCAAGCGTTCATCCCATTACCCTTGGTGGCGTGCAAATTGTCAATATTGCATTTGCTATTATTAGAGACGCTGCAAACAACACATTGCACCGCCCTGTGTAATCTGAGCACCAACAGAGAAATGCCAGCAATGGCCGAAATCACACAGTTGGGCTTGTTAAAGCTTGCTGCAGTTGCTAAATTCAGGGGTTTGAACACTCTTTGGGCCCCAGCTTGTTCCTGTAAAAAACTGGTACCCTGTCACACTATAGTATTTTCCATTTTCTTTTGCATTATCTCTTAATATAAAACTGAGTTCACATCTTCAAGCTTCAAGCCTAGGGCTGTGCCGCGCGTGTGCGCGTCTGCACTTCATCCTTGTTGCCGTTTGCTGATGCGCGCTCCCACATGTCAGCACCCGACAAGTCCACATTCGTTGCAATGTCTTACATACCGGTTTGCTGCCGCAATCTGGAAAGTGAATAACCTCTTGTGACCTAATTGTTTTGCACCATGACAGGAGGTCTACAGGCAGAGTTGCTACCGCACAAGTCACTCATCAACAAAAAAACAACCCGGGACAGACTCGCAAGAACTTACTCAATGTTTTTTGGACTTTTCGGCTTCCTAAACACCCGATAACACGGAGTAAGATCCCGGACCCTCACGTCGGAATAGCGAATCCGGCGGTTTCTGATTGGATCTGTCCTATCTAGGACCCTTGAGCATCCAAGAGCAGGATGCAGACAGCCAACCTGTAAGGACCTTTTGGGCTCAAGAAGGTTCGCGCCTGCAAAATTTCCGCCAGGAGCCTCCCTTGAAAGGAAACTCGGAGCTCTTAACAGCCTAGGCTACAAGTACTAATGTAAGAGAAGTGGAAACTACTATATGCTATTTAGGGTTGAGAGTTTAGGCTCAGGAGGACTTAGTAAGTGGGTTAATAATGGGTATAATCAGGGTTACAATATGCGTTATAGAGACTATTAACCTACTTACTAAATCCCCCTGACCCTGCAAGTAGGCTACCCTTTTGCAATCAACAAGTAACTAAGGTGATCCTGCTTATAAGGACCCAACACCGATTACCGGGAAGTCTGACAAGATACTGAGCTAAGAGCTTCATTATGCCTTATGTGAGCTATAGTCTACACTCCGAGTATCCCCCATAATAGCCCCTAATTATAATTCTCCCCTATATACTCCCCTATAAAACCCTAAGCCCTATATATCCCTATATAAGCCTGTATAACCCCTATATAACCCTACATAATATCCCTATATAACCCCTCATGTAGTCGTTACGGCTGGCTTCCTTTTCATCACCGAGCTTTGGCTCCAGAACTCACAGAAGAAAGTCCTACTCTCACCAGCAAACTGGTTATAGTCCCCCTTAAGTAGATAAGAATATGGGGTATATGGGGATATTATGATAATATACACAAAGCCAGATTCTATTGCTTAAAGGGGACTATAACATGGAATCCCACGAAAAGGCCCCCAAAGGCTTTTGTCCTGTGAAAAGGGCCTGTGTTGGTTTCCGTGTTTGTTTGGGAGAGAGTACCCATTGTATACGTGCTGCCCGCTTAATCCAGCGTGCCCGGGCATTTGGTGCAGAAAAACCTTGGCTCGTCACGAACCAGTGATGAGGAGTTCACCTCTGCGCAGATTTCGTTTTTCGCAGAGCGAAAGGAAAGCTGCGAGGGATTTATGTCCTCAGAGCAACTGAGAGCAAGGTGAGGACAAGAAAGATCTGGTCACTGTAGTCGCTGCAAATCTGTAGCCTTTGCTACAGTGCAGTGTTCTAGCACACAAGATATCTGAAAAGAGAGCCTTGGGCACATCTGCCCGCAGAATATTCGGTGCTCATTGGATGCATGCGGTGATTCGTCGGAGTGTTGCCTTCTTCTGGGTTTAGCATGAGGGTGAAAATTCATTCAGAGAAATTCAACATGAGGTGAATGTCTCTTACAGACAGTGTGAAAGAACTGTGATGGCAACAACAACTACCTAACTTGCAAGAAACAACAAGAGATTACATCGACACGTGGCAGTTGAGCTGCCAGGCACTTGCGCCAGGCCCAATTCATTCGGTGAAATGCGGTGAGATGCACAGATTCGAGGTTTGCCAGACAGCTCATCATAGCTTATGCCAAAAAAATTAGGGTCCCCTATATAAGCCCCTGCATAACCCCCTTTAAGGAGTTTAGACTGTAGGTCACATCTTGGTATGGAGCAAAATCCTACAATCCGATGAACCACCCCGAACCCTAATGCCTAAAACCTCCGTCGCTGGGAGGGCACTTGGAGGGTCAGGGGGACGTAGTAAGTAGGGTAATAACCCTTATAACCCATATAATGACCTTAATTATCCCCGTTCTTCACCTACTTACTAAGTCCCCCTGACCCTCCTATAACCCATAAAATGACCTTAATTATCCCCGTTATTCACCTACTTACTAAGTCCCCCTGACCCTCCAAGCACCAGCCCTACGGTCGCGATGGATGGCCGTTTCTTGCGAGCCAATCAACCTTAACACATTATATACCATAGTATCTGATCGGATACCAAAATATAGAATAGTACATTACGTGCTCGCGGCTCAGCTATGGTTACTTGCCAACCGTTTTACCTCCAAGCGATTCCGAAAATCTTTGCAGCTGCAAAGGAATCTATACCAGGATGCCTGCGACAGCTTCTCAGGTTTAGAGCAATCTGTTAAAAAAGACATAGAACTGGCATTGTTCAACATGACTGTTTACGCAAGTACGTGTGCGTGGATGCTAGCCCCTATGTCTCAACACTACCGCAAGATAAAGCCAGTACAGTGGCCAGATCAAAGCTAAAGCCAACACACTGGACCATAAGCAGGGTTTAGGGTTTAGGGCGCTAATCAGGCACCAGAGTTCAGGCAACATTTTCTAGGCTTTATAAGATCTTCACCACTACCATGCCAGACGGCAAGCCCTACTTTACTTCGGATCATCTAAAGTTTGGTGGGTCGGCTCCCCAATCATGCCCATCATGCAACTAAATCCTTCTGCCACCCTTTCGTGGATCCTGCCACTGTCCTTGATAAATTTACTGCTGCTTTCGTGGACTGGGGGACTGAATATAGTCCCAGGATACGAGACTACATGCAAATGACTCTAGGCATGTCCCCACTTAAGTACCTGTAGGAAAAGGTTTTGAGGATAGCCCATTAGTTCTTGTTTGGGCGGACCCTTAAACTGGCACCGCTAAACCCTAAACCCTTTTGAGCACGGGCTTTGAAGACTGCCGGCAGCCAGGAACAATTCCCCTTTAAGAGGCTCGCGTGGCAACATGAAACACGCAAAAGAAAGAGACAGTATGCACTCTTATGTCAGGAAAAGGCCAAACGCTGATGACCCTAAACTCTAAACCCTTAAACCCTAAACCCTTAGACCCTAAACCCTTAAACCCTACACCCTAATCTACAGAATCACCCCCCAAAAGGCTCAGAGTTGGTCTTGGATATCCGCGGAAGGGCACCTGCAAGCTATAGCTCTACGCCGCTTAGGGTTTAGGGTTTAGGGGCAATCTAAATTCTTAATAGCCCCCTTAATAACCCCTATAGGATTTAGGGTTTAAGGTCTAAACTCCTGGTAGTCCCCGTAATAGCACCTGTAATACTCCCCTCTATAACCCCCTTGAAGGAGTTTATAGACTATAGCTCATGTAGTTTAGGGGGCTGAAGAATTTGAATGCGTTTAGACTGTATTTTGTTCCCTTCGTGTTCCATGTATATAAGTATACTAGAAAAATCTACCAGCAGTTATCAGGGGAACAGGGTCATAACATGAGCAATTCATTATTCAGGCTTACATGGGAGTTCCTCAATACAGTCCTCACATAATCCGAATTCAAGACCCTTAGAATCCCTAGGCGCGCCCTCTTTGAGAAACTCCTATGTAATGAAGCATCAGGGTCTAAGGTTTACTGTAGGGCTTAGGGTAATGTACCATGATTGGAACATCTCAAGGCGTGCGCCAAGTTTGGAGCTTCTACCAAGGCCCAAAGGCATAGCCGGGAGCTACCCTAGAAAGAAAGACGTTCCCCACGGCTGTAGGGATTCACATATAGACTCTAGGGCCCTGAGACGCATGACTTGTAACTTGATTGTAGAAGTGCAT